GAAAGAGGCAGAGCTACCACTCCATATGAACTGGCTTATGGAGTGACTGTGGAGTGGGAGGACAGAATTGTTCCACTTTCAGAGAGAGCTGTTAATTTCTAAATGTGTTACTAAAGGAAGCACTGTGGCTGCTCCATGGCTGGAGCAGGGAACTGATTTATTTGGCCTACATACTGGGTTTCGTCTAGTCATTCTGCCATTAAAGATGAGTTCTGCCAAATGAGACATATGTCTCCTCCTTGATAGGCTTCTGCTGCTTTGTCCACCGCAGTGCCCTCTGCATAGCTTCCTGTCATTATTGTCATTTTCTGGTCTTGCTCTGGGATGTGGTAAAAAGGAGCCATATCAAAGAGCATGACTTTCCAATCCCAATCCACACACCAATGTCAGAGTATTTTTATTCCTTCCCAGGAGCATTATGTTCATCTACCAGCAGCCACGAAGCCTGAAAAGCATGAGAGTATTTTGCAGTAACGTTTGGAATATACAGCTTTATTTTTTGATTGGGATTTCGAGTGTTTAGATTTTAAAGGTCAAGACTGATGTCACATTTAGTCATTAGCTGTCTACACATAGCTGAATATGTGGCTCTGCCAAGTCCGTGCCTGCAGTGCTCTCCTGGAGTTGGCACAGGGATTACAAGGAGTTACTTAGCCTTTTTTTCTGCACAGAAACATGAAAGCCAGATGGGGCAAGCTACGTGGGCAAGGACACAGTTCACCTTAAAATATGCTATTTACCATTACCACAGCAGGACTTCGTGCAAGGAACTGCGATAGAAATGAAAATAGTAAATAGAGTTCTTCACTGGATTTTAGTTATTTGATTATTTGTAAATCTTCTTCCTCTAGGAGCCTTCCTGACTGCCATTTTTTCTCTTTTTTCTTATTTTCAGATTTTAATAACTCGAGTATTTTATTGGTAAGAAATTAAGGTGGGGATTTATTAATCATGGGATTGTATTGGGAGATTTCTAATGTTTTCTTTTTTCTCACAAAGAAATGCAAATACTTTATCATTCAGTGACCATTTACCCCTATATATACTATGATGGACTAATGTTAGGATTTTTTTTTTTAATTCAAAAGTGACTATCCTTTTGCCAAACATGACAGTTGCTTTCTTTGTGCCAAGCAGTTACCACCTTATTTAATTTTTCTAACAACTTTATTAGCAGCTCTTTTACAGGAAAATTGAGGCACAGAGAGGTTAAGTAAGTTGGGACTAACAGCTAGTAAGTGGCAGAACTGAAATACAAATCTGTATCTCACTTGAGACCTTGTGAGCTTAGCCCCTGTACTATGCTGTAGTGCCTGGAGCAGGGTCTCAGTTCAGTAGAAGAAAGAATATTGCTCACAGAGGACAATACTGAGCACTGCATGATAACTGTATAAATGAGAAGAATACAAAGGAAAGGAGGAGAGGTTTCAGGCAGGTGAAAGGGAGGATCTTGGGATTTGAGATAGATTTTGAGGGGCAGACATTAGAAGCAAGCATTTCCTTTCAGTTAAGTGAATGGCATGAGTAGACACTGGGTCTGGAAGACATGCACAGAAAATATGCAGTCTGGCTCGGTTGGAGAGTAGGCCTGAATATACAAATGCAAGAGAGGGCAGGCCCTATTTTGAAGACAGCTGGGATAAGGGGAATGAAGGTTGTGAACAGTGAGATGGCCAGAGCAACTTGAAAAAGGCAGTGCTGGAAGCATTAAAGATAATTAAGAGGTTATTTTTTGTTCTATCACAACACACATTTATTATGTCCCAGTTTCTGCAGGCCAGGAGTCTAGGGACAGTTTATCTGGGATCCAGATACTCTTAAGAGTGTAGACCAGAGCTGTGGTTTCATCCAAGGCTCCTCAGGTTGGGAATGTTTCACTTTCCTTAGTCAAATTTGGTGACTTGTAGTTTCCTAGAGAGGAATGCAGTCTCCTGCAGGCTGTCAACTTGAGGGGCCCTCAGCTGCTTCCTGGGCCTTCCAGTAGAGGTGGGTTCTCCAGAGCCAGCAAGGAAACAAGGTGCTTCAGCTGATTGGCACAGTAACCCTACACACTTAACAGTGTATCCTGTTACATCGGTCTTATTCTGTTGGAAAGGAGCACATTCTAGGCATGAACGTTAGGAAACAGGCATTGTGGGGGCTACTCCAGAGCCTGCTGTGGAGAAGGTGCCCGCTAGAGAGACAAATAGGGTTTGGACCAGGGTGGGATTAGTGTAAATAGAAATTATGACTGGTGTGTTTGTTTCTTTGTTTTCAGTGCTGGGATCTAACCCATCACCTCCTGTGTGCTGGGCAAGTGCCCACAGAATGTAGTTATGTAATAATTATGATTTCTGGTCCATGCCATGTGAAATTGTATTCATTATCTTATGTAAGCCTCAGAATATCTCTGTGAGATATGTGCTAGGAAATCCTTTATTTCACAGAGAGGACACAGCTTTGAGAAGTACTGGAGTCACATGCATCCTCGCTTCGCACTGGGTGTGCACCCAGTTTTCAGCCTCAGAAGTTAGGGTCAGAGTGCACAGTCTCAGCCACTGCTTACCTCAGATGAAAGTAGAGAGGATCTAAGATGTATAAAAATAGAGAAGATAATGCTGAGGTTTTAAGCCATTTCAGCGTGGGGATAGTGACGTTAATTAAAGGAGAACTGCCACAAGTGGCACGAGTAAAGCAGTAACTTCTGTGCACATAGCCTGTGCGGGCATTATGCTCCTGCACGTGGGAACACCGAATTTTCTAAACACCTGCGATACAGTCCTTTCCCCCACTGTACAGAGCAGGAAACAGGACCATTCTTGTACCCTCCAAACTCCTAAACACATAACAGAATAAATACAGAAGGCAGGCCCTGTTTTGTAGACAGTTGGGTTTAGGGATGAGAGAGAGTTCATAAGCACAGCAGTGGTCCTCTTGTGTTTTCTGAGATGGCTGATGTGTAAAACACGCTCAGTATATATACATTTTAAGTGAATTAGCACAACCAGTAAGAATCATGATTTGAACTCAGAAGAACCCCCCCTTGCCACCTAGAAAAGACAGTGCATTTTATTGTAACCATGTTTGAGGCCATAGCAAGATATCTGGATGTGGATGTTCAGTACATACCTAAGTCCCATCAGTGGAACATAAGAAAAAGGTCAAGGTGACTATCAAAAAGCATACTTAGGAGATTATAAAATTCTAAAATGAGATGGATTATTATCAGAGAGGGTATAGGTCCAAATAGAATCTTAGGAGACACATATTTTTAGATGCTGAGATGACAGAAAGGTAGTATATTTTAAAAAGCAATGAAGATATGGAGGTCATACATATTGGAGAGACATATAAAAGCATAGTAGAAAGAGAAAGAAAGAAGGGTTGCCACAAATATCAACCATTGCAGAATATCAGATCATAGATGACTGTTGGTTGAGAAGATTCAGGCAAACAGCCCATGTCAGCCAGCATGTAGGACATCGGGAGAACCAGGCTATAAAGAAAAAGTGGGCAGTGAGGATCCAGAGCTTGTGTGGTTTGGGGAGAGCTGATACTAGTATGAGAGAATGGTGAGATCATGTGTGATGGATACGGAAGAGGCAGCTCACAAAGGAAGGCGGGCAGGCTAGGAAGGAAGAGACTGATGGAACAGGACTGCAGAGGAAGGAGCGTGAGATACCTTGATAGGATGAGGAGTCCTTCGGCAGGGTAAGTGACACACCACTGGATGGAGAAGAGCTTGTGTCCCTTTTTTTTCAAAAAATTGATAGAAAAGTGAAGATTGAATACAGAAAAATTGATATTCCAATTGAAGATCCTCGATTCTTTTTAAAAAAGTAACCAAGTACATTTACTTAGAAAGCAGATGGAAACAGCATGAACTTTTAATGGAGCCCAAAGCATTGTTTCCTAATTTTGGACAACTTACAAAAAAAGTGGTAATTGAGGAATTTAATGTACAGGGCTGAAAACTAAAATGACAAGAATGACAGACAAGCATCAATTCTAGAGTCCAGTGAAGGCAATTTTAGCATAGTCTAAGCTGGGTAATGAGGTGAATGAATACTGACAGGATTTTAGAACCTATGATTTGGGTATAGTGTAAATTACCAGAAATGAGGAAATAAAATGGCTGTGGTCAGAAAAGGAATGCCCAAAATTTGGTGTCTTGAAGTAAAATATTAGTTCCAAATCCAGTATAAAGTACCCTTGCTATACTTTGAAAATAAACAGGGAACTATAAGGCCACTTCATTAGATGAGCCAGAAGGAAAATAAATGAATATGGCACATGATATGAAAGAGGGTGGAAAAAGACAAATGGGTTTTTAATGACAAGTTCATAAACGTTTTAACAAAAATAAGTCTCATGGGGCAAAAATATATTCTAAATTGATAATAAGGGATAAAGATATTTTTGAGGCTGATAGCACCTTTAGGAACAGGTCATGTGAAAAGAATTAGGTTTGACTTGAGAATTAATCTAAATTAAGGACACTTTGCTTCTCTACAGAACAAGGAAATTAGGTCATCAGGAGTGACTGGAAAAACAAGACACAACAGGAAGGAGAGATAGGTATTTGAAATCAGATTGAAAAACTGTTGCTCAACTGTTTGCTTCCCTAATCTACCCTTTCACCCCTTCACAGGTGACCTTTCTAATCTTTAAAATAGGCTGTAAAGTATCATCCCCCTTTTACAGCTGCAGAAGCTTCAGTTTTGGAATTTGGATCTCAACCGACTGCACATACAGTGGCCTTTCCACCACAATATGCTGATTAGCAGTGCTTGAAGGGTTAAGTGCAGCTTCCAAAGACTGATCAGGAATAAGGTCTAATTTATACAAAATGGGAAAGAAAGTGTTTTTGTGTGTTGCTGTTGAATTATATTTAGCTTACACATCTGATACATTTTGGACTCTGAAGATACTAAGGGATTTCCAAATACATCCAATATGATCACATGAATTTCTGCAACTATATCCTAAAACACTAATACTTAAATTGGATTATTTTTCAGGTGTGAAAATGAAACCAAGTTCAAAACAGAAGAAGTATTCTGGGCTTACAATTTCTGCCCTACCCCATACTCCTGGACTGCACTTCTGGGCCTTATTTTATATCTTGTTTTCTTTGCACCTGGTAAGCAGAGGCCTTGCTGTTTTTATTATCATTAAATTATTTCTTTTAGAAGAGACAGGCTACTATTTTTTGAATTCCTTGTGTGCTGTATTACTGAAGTTTTTGATCCACCCCCTAGGGATGGGACCAATGCCTTGGACCGTGAATTCTGAAATATATCCCCTCTGGGCGAGAAGTACAGGAAATGCATGTTCATCTGGAATAAACTGGATTTTCAATGTTTTGGTTTCACTGACATTTTTACACACAGCAGAATATCTTACATACTATGGTAAGATCTTATTTTTCCTATTATATTTTTAGATAGGCCGTAATTTGTGATTGAGAGACTATGTTGGGTTTTTTTATAGAAACTCCTAGTCCAAATGAAAGTCTACAATGTAATACTTTGGATAACAAGGCTCCTCTTGACTCTATTCTGCCAGAAAAATGAGGTAATAGAGTGGTGCTGAAATGGGGCATAAGTACACTTTTTTCAAAAATGTAGCATTTTCCTTCACAGTAAGCTTCTCTTCTGTCAGCACCCCAAGACATCAGTCCGCTGTTCTCTAAGAGTGGGAAAATATTTCAATGTGGATGAGGTTTTCCTTTGTGTGTGTATTTTAATCTGCATGATTTCTGTAAGCTATGTGTTTTTATTCCTGACCTAATAAGTATACATCCTGATGGTATTCTTTGGAAATACCTATGGCTTTGTTTCCTCCTCTTTTTGATTCCTTCCTAAACCCTATTGGTTAGAAAGGGCTGCCTAATACATTGTTCAACAATGTTTATTGGTAAACGTTTTCTTTAAAAGATCACTAATATACCATTTTACATATAGCACCTATGGCTAAAACAGGGCCATGGGGAGCCTCATGTCAAAGGTCCTGAGTTGAGTCACTGAAATTAAATTATATGTGGTCTCTCATTCCTCACTTTGTATAATTCAGTTAAATACTTGTTTTAATCTTGAATTTAATATAAGGCTTTAATGAGATTTATTTCCTGCAGAATAACCCTGAGGAATATCTGCACTGCTTGTTACAGACTTTTCTCATTTTCATTCTGAGAAGGAAGGAATGAGTGAGCAAGCTACATTATCAATGTGGCCATGACACAGAGCAGACCTGCCCACATTCCTCTGTGGCTGAACCACAGATCTCACCGGGGAACCCACACTGAGCAGGCAGTTTGTGCATCTGCCTGCTTTAGATTTCTCAGATTTCATTAAGAGGCTTGTATTTGATTAGAATTTCCTTGGGGTTATTTGGGTGTGGAACCTGAAGAATCTGTGTCATCTTTAAGAATTTTCCTAATCCAGCTGTTTTTGACTAAGGTTTTACTGACAGATTTTGTTAGTTCCAATTAGGCTGCTGTTCCAAAATTACGAAAGATGATAATGATAAAGAAAAAATACATTTTATAAAGCCAAACTGGGTTTGTTTTTTTATGGATTTTTGTGGCTTAGCAGTCTGGTTTAGTCTAAAATGTCTCACCATCTGTACTCTTTTCTGTGTCATCATGATTACCCCTTTTCTTTGCTCTTCTTCCCTAAGGATTCCATTTCTGTTTCTATGTCCAGATTTTTGACAATCTGCCTTCAGAGCACAGGCCTTTGTGTCTTTACCCCTCCCCATCTCCTGTAAAAATCATCACATTCTTGAAGAGCTAGCTTTTCATGAAAATATTCTTAATTAATGATATACTAATCCCCTTCTATCTTTAATAGCAACTCTCCCTAGTCATTTGGTAGAATTAAATGATGCTGATTATCACGTTTCTGAGCAATTAATATCCAAAACTCTTAAGGGGCATGCAAGATAATTCTATTCTGTATAGTTTAATGCAGCAGGAGTTATTTTCCCATTACATAGATCAGGAAATGAAGTTCAGAACAAATGTTTAAATATTGCCCGAGTGTTCCATGCTCATATATCGTGATGCCTGTGACTTTCAGGGCCACATTCTCCACAGAGCCGTGGAGCTGCTTTCTCTTTGCTGTGCCATGGATCCAGATGACCTCATATTATTTTCTGATTATTTTTTAAGTATAGGCCATAAAAAATACAAGCTGTGGTCTGTACTTAACTATGAACCAAAATAAAATGAAATACATTTATAAGAAAATTGGTTTCATTAAGCAGAGAGTTTGATCTATACAAATCCAGCACCTTAAAGAGTCTATGGCTCTATTTAAACTACCAAATTGATTTAGTAAGCCCTTGCATGTTTTTCTAATCTCTCATAATTTACCTGTTTCAATTTTTTGGAGTAGCCTATTCAGCAACATTTTCATCTGTAGGTTTCTTCAGATCCCCCTGAGGCAAATTTCTAAGTAGTCTTTATGTATCTGCCCCTTACTGTGCTGCTGCTTCTCATTGGAGAAACTGAGAAATTTTATTCATTTCTTTTGACACGCACACTTAAGCAGCTTAAAGCTTGATTTGGAAATATGTCTCTACGGTGTCCACTTCAGCCCTTTATTTCAGATCTGACCCCCCATCTGGACTCCGCCTGGCAGTTAATAAGCACATTCCCATTCTCTAGCCTGGGTGTGTCCAGCTCACTGGCTGCACGCACCCTGGACAGCCAAGAATGGGGTGTTCCAGACTCCACTGCTCAGTACTACAACACTGACTGCACATTCAGCACTGGAGTGCTCAGCAGGCAGGGCAGAGTGCAGTGCTAACCCCACTTTCTGCACCTGCTGCACAGTCCAGCAGAAACCCACACGCATCAGGAATGATGTGCACTTCTGCAACTTGGCCAGAAAAAGCAGCAGTTTCTGATAATATCTCAACCTTGCTTCATGTGTGTGTTGCCTGTGTTAAGGAAACATGTAAGTTTTCTTAATTATTTCTTTTGTTGGCAGTACTAGGGATGGAAGTCAGGGGTGTTCTACCACTGAGGTATATCCCCAGCCCCTTTAAAAAAAATTTTTTTTTAATTTTGAGACAGGGTCTAAGTTGCCCAGGTGTTACTTAAACTTGCAATCCTCCAGCCTCAGCCTCCCAGAGTGCTGGGATTAGACATGTGCCACTGTGCCCAGCCAAATTTTCTTAATTTTTATGTAGCCCAAGGTACTTCTTCTACTGTCACTGTGGCCCAGGCAAGCTAAAAGGTTGGACATCCATGCTATAGACTGCAGTGTGTCAGGCACTGTGTTATTCGGTGGCAAACCAAAGACAAACCTACCATAGGCTCCGCCCTCAAGGAGATGACTCCTACTGAAAAAGAAGAGCAAGTACGCTGTCTAATATCTCTAAACCAACCCTCTTAATCCTGTTCCTGGTTTTAGCTCTATCATTTATAGAATCATAAATTGCTAGCACTTAAATATGAGCCAAGAATCCATTCTTTTTCACTCCATAGGGAAACTAAGGAGAGAAAGGCAGATAAATAACTGTCCAGAAGACTGCCAAGACCTAACTCCCAGTGTTCCCACCCTCATCCGCCATCTTTTCTCCAGCCATCTGTCATGTTAGTCTTTCCTCTTCCTTCTTCCACATCATAGACAGGATGACCTAGACTAGTGATGGCAAACCTTTTAGTGCTTTCAGTGATACAAACAGCCCGCTGCAACACGTATGCCACAGGTTCACCACCACTGATCTAAACTGAAGGCCTAAAAGTAAGCAAGAACTCCTTTATAGTTCGTTGTTCTCCCCCATCAAAGTAGAAGTATGAGTTCTCATACTGTATTGAACAAGCTTCTGCTGCCTTGAACCACCAATGGTACATGCCTGATTGTCCCCCTGAGCAGCTTGTACCACCCGGTGGGATAGTCACGCAGGTACTACCAGTGGTTCAGAGGTGCCCAGAAGCAAGACATACAAATTATGGTCTCATCATGAATATGTTAATAATGAATTGGATTATAAAGAAAAAGCCCTCTTGGAAATATGTAGAGAAGACAAGCCATACATTCACATATCTCATCCATCTAACCCTGCAGTATTAATACTTAGAAAACACAACCAGACAGTATTTATACCTGCTGCTGTGCTGCACTGATACATGTTGTAATCTTAGAACAAAACAGAATTTCTGACCTCACAAAGCTTACATTCCACTGGCAGGAAACAGAAAACACACTAGTAAAATTTATCATACATTAGTTGATAAGTGTTAAGGCAAAAATGGAATAGAAGGACCTAAGAGAAAGATCAGCTAAAAAAACTACTGCAATAGCATAGATGAGGGAGGATGGGTTTTACAGCACAGATTTTGCAAGTGTGCTGGAATATGGTCATGTTTGGCTGGTGTTCCACAGGTAGACAATAGGGTCTCCTAACAGACTGGATGTTAGGTGTCAGGATAAGAGAAAGGTCATGGTAGACTTTGGGCCTCAGAAACTAGAATGCTGTTGCCATGTACTCTACTGGGGCATTAATTCTGCAGTGTCACCATTGCACTTGGTTCTGGAAATCAAGATAATTTTCTCCTAACCTCAGAGAGCCTCTGGTCTTAGGAGACAAGATAGATACAGGCATGTGCATAATGATAATACTTTCTGGTTATTAAGACATAATACTTCTCAACACAGTGCTATGAAAGTGTGTGGGAAGGACTAAGTCCCTGTAGTCAATAAAGACAGAGGCAGAACTTATATCTGAGTCTGGTCTGTTATTCCTCTTGAGTTTGATATTCAGTGATTTGCATTATATTCACAGGGTTGGAACATTCAGCTAAACCAGCCACGTTGGTGGATTTTGGTCCCATTTCATACTATGATTATTGCATGATTGACTGGGGAAAAAACTCAAAGTCAAGTGTTCTTTCCAACTAAAGCATATACATACATGTATACATATATAAAATATATATATATATATTCATAAATACTGTCTGTCATTGCAGGAGCCTTCTTTCTCTATGCTGGATTTGCAGCTGTGGGACTTCTCTTCATTTATGGCTGTCTTCCTGAAACCAAAGGGAAAAAGTTAGAGGAAATTGAATCACTCTTCAACAACAAGCTGTGTACATGTGGTACTTCCGATTCGGATGAAGGAAGATACATTGAATACATTCGAGTAAAGGGAAGTAACTATCATCTGTCAGACAATGATGCTTCTGATGTGGAATAGTTTAGTTACCTAACCAAGTGTAGGGGAAAGGCTGCAGTTGGTAACCTCGCTGCCCTCCTCCTAATGCAGTCCTTCCCAGTCTCATTCTGAACAACTTTCATGCTCTAGAATATCCCTGATATTTTTTTTCACAAACAGAAATTGTTAAAAAAAATCAGATTTTAATCTAAAAATTCAGAAGCAAATGTAATTCCTTCCTGAGAAAGTTTGAAATGAATACTATACCCAGTGACTTCAGTGGGACCCTTTTTTTTTCCTCAAAAATATATAATTAGTGGCAAGAGAGTCATTACTAACCTAGCCAAAATAATGTACATTTATAAGGGATTCTGTGAGTTGGTCCAAGGGTGTTTTATGTCAAAACAAGGCCTGTTCACCCTAATTTTTCCAAATGACTAGTAGCTTATCTGTGATCAACTGAAAAAGTAAATTCCTTTTAAACTTTCCTCAAAGAATTCCAAATTGTATTCTGCAAGGGCACAGCTGCCCTTATCTCCTATGGGTTCCATATTTTGGTTTTCTCTCCACTTCAGATATTGAAAGTTCTTCAGAGACTGACTCTACATAGGATCTTTTGAACGTTAAAAAAAGCAGGTCTTTTAGGGATTATTTTCATACCTTTGCATCAGTGATAAGTATATTTGCACAGATAAGCTAGCAAGTTTTGATAAGTATATTTTATTGTCAAAGTAAGAAAGAAAAGATTTTTATAGATCCCTAATCCATTAGTCACTCAGAACTGCAAATGTAAATGCAGAACAGTGCCAGGTCTTTAACTGTATTTCAGAGTCTTCTTTCGTTCATGCCAAACTCACCGCATCTTCATTCATGGCTCTGGAGTCCTACTCTTTTGTGCCTTCATTGGTGTTATATAAATAGCTGCTAGCATGTTATCATTCCCCTTCTTGAATCAAACAGCAATTTCTGAAACAAACAAGAGAGGAAGGAAATCAGTGGGAGAAGTAGTCCTGCTATTATTGATGTTTAATTAAAATCATAGGACTTATTTTTTTTTAACTTTTTATTAACTCTTGCTAAAGAAATTATGTTTTATTATGTCTTTTTAATTATAAGCACATAAATAAGTTTTTATTTTGCACATCTTTTATTTTCCCTGACAGTTTGCCGAAAATCAAGGACACTTAGATTTGTCTCTGTTTTTTCTTAATATCATGCTTAGCTTGGTTTTCCTTCATGTAAAAATTGAGATTTTTCTATGGAAACACATAAATGGTTCTAATATATCACATGTCTGTAAGAAATGCTAACTTACTGAAAAGACATTTCTGCACTATGTTTTTCAAAGTGTTTTCTCTGGTTTCTGTGTTCATTCATCACTAAATGCTTTATTATTGCCCTTCTATTAAGAACTGTATAGTACATACAAAATTACTTGCTCACATTGCTGGTTGAATAAAACTATGAATGAATCATCTGTGGCCAGTTAGGAATGCATCTACTGGTGTACTGTGTTTGGGGTGAAAAGGTGGCTCTCAGTAAATTCAAAGTATTTCTGCCAGTCTTCAAGATGTTTTGTTCTTATAATCAGCAAGCAAAAATTTTTGCTGAGAAAGTTCATTTCCTGAGTCACCAGAGGTACTTAAACAGTCACTTCAGTGCCCTAAAAACCTTTCAACCAAAAAAGTATCCATTTGATCACTTTATATTAACAAATGTAGTGTCTTGGAAAGTAATTTTTCCTTGCATTAGGTGCTTTGACAATTGATTTCTAATGGGATATTAATATTGATTTTCCCCAGAAAAGCAAATATGATTTAATAGGGAAAACTGTTTTTTTGATATTTCTTATCCCATAAGAAATTTCTTATATGTATACTATTTTAACAGATAAAATGAAAATGAGCTATTATGTGATAAAATCAGATTATGGAGAGAAAAAATATTTAGAGCAGTATTCTCTTTAAAAACTTATTTTTCTGATTTGTTGGAATAAATGCCTCAATTCTCTTATTCTATAGATAGCCTTAATTATATACTTATACTCAGCTGGGATGATAAACGAGCAATTAAACTTATTTCTTACAGCAGAAGATGGCCTGTTCTCTCTGACATCACAAAGTATTTTCAACTCTATATCCCTAAGTGCACATAATAACAGGGACAGTTAGCCACAGCCCTCCTGCCCGCTTCCCTTCAGCCCCTTCTTAAAAGACTATTTGTTATTTATATAGTGATAATAACATTCCATATGTTTGAAGTAGAAGAGAGGCACAGTATAAGAATTATTTATAACTTTTTAAAAACAATTACTTGAAAAGGAACATTTATAGTGCATTATAAATTAAAGTTTGAAATTTGCAGGTTTTTTTTATATTATACACCTTTTAAGTTCTGTGTCTGGCTACTATCAACTTGAAAACATCCCATCTGAGATATTATCAAATATATATATTTTATAAGATAATTTGTGTATAGTGTGATTTGACCTGCCGTATTAAAACAGGCACAGATTAAGCATTAACTAAAATTACAGATTTCCTTCTAAACATGCTGAAAATTCAATGGAAGTATATTTTGTTTGAGGAAAATACAGTGAAAAAGGTCATGTATGCTTTTGAGGCTTAGCTGGATGGGTCATCACTAGAATTAAAAGTAGATATCGTTTTGCCTGCATATGAACACATAGTGCTCAGAAAGGTTTACTGTTAGATTTTTCTTCCATGGACACATTCCTAATAACTTTGTTGCCCTGTAGTCAGTCATCTCAAACATTCGAATATATATGTAGAAGATATAAGATGCTTCCATTTGAAATTCTGTCCGAACCATGTTAGTGGAGAAAATGCTATGAGAATACTAAAGGCTTTGCCATAATTTACCATTGAACTAGATTTTAGTACAGTCTAAATATTATTTTTAAATTATCTACTCTAAAATGGGATGTCAAAGTAAGGAATTTATCAAACTTTTATTGTAATTTCGGTATCCGTTAAAAAGATGATTAGAAAAAACATAACGTGTTCACTTTTGCTTTTAAATGGTAAAGTAAAATTGAAATGTATTCTAATAGTCCATAGATTCTGGAGCTGAGAGGACAGAACATTTTAGAAAATGCCACAAAAAAGTCTCACAATTTAATTACTAATATAATTAATTCTGTAATACAGTGAGGAAGTGGAGGATTGTTGTGACTTGATTTTATCAGTGCCATTAAGAACAATAACATGATGTTTTGTTATAATCAGAATTTACTATTTTCAAAGATATATCAAATTATTCTATCAAATGGCTTTTTTCAGTTGTTGAAATAAGTTTTCAATTACCAGATTCAGACTATTTTACTAACTAGGAATAAAAGAGTTAGATGATATAACCAGCCCAGGAGCAGAAAATTCATAATATATGCTTTAGTGCAAACTCTGTTAAGTTGGGGTAAAATTTACAGCTCATGTAGCTGCTGCCTATTTAAGAAAAACTCAAGAATTATTCTCTGGCTTTTAATGTCCTGTATTTGGTTACTTTCTATCAGTCTTCTTAGCCTCATGTACAGTAATGTTAAGCTAATCTGATGAAGTGGTTCAGATCACAGCAGTGTATAAATCGCCATACATTCAGTTCTTCTAGGTGAGCAATACTGCTGCTATTGTCTAGAAATAGCAATTATTTAAAAATGCCTAACAGCTAACTGCTACCAACTCTTTCTTGTATATTGTCTCTTTAAAAAAACAAATGTTTTGTGCCAGTAGTCATCACAGAGGTGTAAGAGTGTCAATATTCAGAAGTACATAAAAGTATCTTACCTTATAATTTACTTGTAAGTGTAAAAATAAAATTCTTATAAATCTTTATGTGTATAAAATACAGACTGTTGCACTTGAGTAATTTGGTTCACAAATAAATATCTTCATTTACAAGTAATATCCACATTTTATTTTAGACAGTTCATGTGTTTGGATTTGTTCTATCAGTATAAATGAGAAAAAGATCAGGAAACTATTTAGTACTTAAAATTAAAACCAGTACTTTGCAAAGTTTTAAGATTGTAATAAATGTAACATCATTCCATTCTCATGTAAAGGTTAAAAAAGATCAGGTTTAACTAGTTGAAGTACAAATTTATGTCCTACACATTCAAACTGTTTCCTAGCAGCTTTTGGACTATATCTGACTTGATGTTATAGTATCTTTTATTCTTAATAAATGTTCAAATTTCTGTTTAGAAGCTTTAATGTATATCTAGATTAAATCAGAAGTTTTATGCTTTTAAAATATATGTATTTCAAACTGTATTTTAATTTGAGTGCATGTTACATAGTGTTTAATATTTCACCTGTCTTGACAAATTTCAATATATTTATTCCCACATGTGGTTTTTGGGTTCTCTTTAAAATTATGACTATGTACCATTTTCTGAAATCATCCTAGCCTTTGCTGTATCAAAAGTATTGTATATTTTATGGAGATTTAGTGATATACATGTAAATGTTTTTAAGTTATTTTACTGAAGTTCAATCTTTACATAAAATTAAGATCTTTTTTTTAAAAAAAACGTGTCAGTGCCAGAACTGTAAATGAAAATAATCAAATAAAAGTTTTAAAAAGAATTAATTACTCGTTTATTTCCCTTGCACTTTTTATTTTCTTTTATTCTCTCCACTGGATTTTAGCATTTAGGTTAAAGTATCCACAAAGACAATCTACCTTGATATATTAATGCAGTCCCACTCATTTTAATAGTTACTTCTTTTGATCACACATAAGATAGTTACCTTCAAAATTATTTTTGGTTTTTGCTGTGTAAGTAAAAATAAAATACTGACTGAATGTCTGGCTGAGAGACCCTCTGGAAGGCTCTGTTGTTCTCCACTGCCTTTCTACCCCAGCCACACCTTTCAATAACAAATGTATAGACCCATCTCCACGGTTGTGTGGCATCCTATGCTTTACAGTGTACAAGTGGCCCAAGGAGATCCTCTGAAGACACAGGACTACTGTCATTCAGAGGCTTAGCCAGATCTGCTTCTAGCTAAGGATTTGAATGTCAGCTGTAAGGTAAAAATGACTCCTGCTAATCCCACAAATTGCACGTAAATTGTCCACTCACCTGAACAGTGAACACCTGAATGGTACATGTCTGTATTAGTTACCATAAAAATGGTAATTTAATTTTCCAGTCCCCTGGGGTAAAGACTGTTGAGTTTTTCCTGCTTCTAAAACTTAAATTCAGCATGTTTTTGGTGCATCACCCATAATCATGCACTCGGAGCTTTTCTCTGCAGTGACAACTCCAACTCTTCCTGGGACTTTCTTCCCTAGGTCAGCTTGGACATCATCTTGGCAGACGTAGCCACATTGATTACAAAAATACAGATGACCAAGGAATTCTTGCATCATATGTGTCCACAAAGACAACCAGATATCTCACTTCAACCTGGATTGAACAAATCCTGGAACCCTTGATTTAGGGAGACAATAACATAGAATCTTTTCAAGAGGTGAGAGACTAAAAATTATTTGTTTCTAACCCACCTTTTCTGCTGTCTGGTAACCTAAACAATGGACCTGAGATAAAGTACTTTGCATGTCTGTAATATGGAGCTGGATGGATGGTATTACCTGCTTCATATATCTGTTGCAAGGGTCACATTAATTGACCATGTAAAGTGTGTGGAACAGCAGCACGTAGTAAAGGCTGGGCAACTGTTAGCCCGTGGTTCCAATATCCATATGACATCCATGATACCTCCACAGTCCTGATGCCCAGAACACAGGCTACTGTTAGTCCCTTCCTAGGGACAACTACTAGGATAGGAACATGTGAGCTGGAATTGCCATCTCTGCTCACCAGTGTGTTTGCACTGACCTCTATTATCCTGATGCCCTGCTTGCTTTTTGCATGTCTTTTCAATAAGCATCCTCCTGAAAGGCATAGCTGATGAAAAGCACAAATATTCTCCAAATCAACAGTTTAATGTATAATTTCTATGTATGTCTCAGTCAAAAACTATAATTTTAGAAAATTTCTCAGTAATCTATTATTTAAAGTCCTTTCATTATACAATTTTTGAAATCCTCTCCAAACAAAAAGTGACACTGACCCTTAACTAATTGGCTATATTGAAATTAAATTCATAATATAAATGCAGTAGGAAATGTGGAGGCTACTTCTTTGTTTTACCTTGAATGTATCTTGCATTTTTTTCACTGTACCTACAAAAACTAATTCCAGGTGATTAGTATGCAGAATAAGTTAATTTTTCACATACAAGGAAATTTTAGTATGCTTTATTTTTAGTAGGTGAATACTAAACTCACAAACACCAAATATTAGAGAAGTGGTTCTCCAAGTTTGGCCTTCATAGTAAAAACCATGCTTTATCAATGAACCTTGGCATACCAGAGATGCTTCAAACAGCAAATTCTTCACAGTATATGAATGCATTTATAGTCATGAACACTTGGATGGGAGACTTTATTTCTTAAGATTCCCATTCAATAAGGAGAAATCTAGCCTGGCATGGGGGTGCATGCCTGTAATTTCAGCACTTAGGAAGCTGAGACACGAGGATTGAAAGTTTTTAGTTCCATCAGGGCAATTTAGTCAAACCCTGTCTCAAAAATTAAAAAGGGTTGGGTACAACCGCCAGTACTACAAATAAACAGAGAAATCTAATATGAAAAAAATTAAATATAACAAAATTTGGTAGAATTTGTTTTTATAAGTTCCATTTTCACATTTTCTTTGCTCAGATAACACATTTACTATGTGACAGATATATTATATCCATGATTTCCTTCAATGCTCACAAAAACACTACTTTGTGGAGCCAAACACCCTCACTGGAGGAAAGATAGCCTCTTTAATAAATGGTGCTGGAAAAATTGGATTTCAACTTGCCAAAGACTAAAACTAGACCTATATCTCTCACCATGCACTAAACTAAAATCAAAATGGATTAAAGATCTAAATATTAAAACAGACACACTGAACTGGCTGGAAGAGAGGTTAGGTAGAACTTTTTTTTTTTTTGGTAGAATTCTTGAAGACATTGGTG